TCTCACAGGGGCCACTTCCCCACCAGAGCCACCCTCGGTAGCAAGGGGAGCACAAGCCACCATGACCCAGCAGCCCAAGTTCTGCCCAGGACAGGCCCCAGGCTTGGGGAAGTTGGGGTGGTGACTCAAGTTCCCCACAGGTCAGCTGTCGCCATAAGCTGGCACCCCAAGCATGTGGTGGGCGAGCCATTGCTGTGACCCAGCCACTGCCCAAGCCCAGGGCAGACAAGCCACCACCATGGCTGGAAGTTTGCAGCTGCCAAAACCTGGGAAAGAAGAGCTGCTGCCAACCTGAGCTCTGCAGAGGTGAGCTGGGTTCATGCCTGCTCTTCCCACCCCCTCCATCGTGGGCTGGGGCCCTTTCCAGGGCTGAGTTTGCTCCCCAGTCCTGCCCTCTGGGTGAGCTGGAAAAGGGAGGTCTAGAAGGCTGTATGGCAGATTTGGCTCTGCCCCATATGCAAAATGGTCAAGAAATACACAGCCTGCTGCTCAGCAGTGCTATGAATTTATCAATATGAATTTGTTCAGTGTTAGGTGTGTAAGATTACTAGATATGATGTTGGGAAATATGAAAGTAGTGTAGAGCTATTTTGTAAGTGGGACCCAAAGAGTACATCAAATTTAGAGCTGCGTCCCACTTTCAAAAAAAGTCTCACAACCAGTGTTCCCTCTAAGCTGAGTTAGTGTGAGCTAGCTCACACTAACTCAGCTTAGAGGGAACATTGCTCACAACCACTAACATTTTACTTGTAATTTCCATAGGTTTCAGCTCACGAGTAAAATGTATCATACTGAAGATGAAAAGCCTTAAGTAATCTGTCTCTACTGCAGCAAAGCCAAGATTCTATTTTTCATCCCACCAAGAGGGTTAAGAATAGAGAAAGGACTGCAGAAACAAGGATTCGTCCTTGTGCGAAATGCTTGCATTTGCAATGAAACCAGGCTGTACTCTTGTGAAGACTCGAAAATCTTAGGGCTCCCAGCTCTGGATTGGGAAGTATCTGGAGAATTTGGGGGTGGAGCCTGGGGAGGGGAGGGACCTCTGCAGGGTATAATGCCATAGTGTCCAGCCACCAAAGCAGCCATTTTCCCCAGGAGAACTGATCTTGGTTGCCTGGAAATCGCTTGTAGTTGTGGGAGATCTCTTCAAGTGGGAACCCTAGATAAACGGGTTCACACGTGTCTGTACATTGCTTGATTTCACTACATTTTTTCACTTCATCTACTGGATGGCTGATAGCATGTGAACTAATCGCATTGACAAGCATGGTGTTTAACTTGGTAGCTCATTTACCTTCACAAATTACTACCTCCAGTTGCCGCATATGAATGTGAAAACCAGCCAAAAAGTCTTCCATACCCTTAAGTTGATCTGTATTTCCATTTATGGGTCCTGTCCCTGCCTGCTGTCATTTGTCACTCCCCCAAACCCAATCAATTTCTGCCTCCTATATGGCAGGGACTTTTTGTGATCTCTCTTACCAGGCTACATTGGGCATCATAGTCAATCTCCAGGGCTTGCAGTTGGCGTCTCAGTTCAGTGACCTTATTGTTGCTCTCTTCAATCTCCTGACTGCTGGTGCAGACATCACGATTCACCTCCTCAATCTGTAATAAGCAGAATTGCGGAACACAGAGGTCTATTGCACCTCTCACAAACACATGAAGTTGCCTTATACTGAGTCAGAATCCTGGTCTATCAAGCCCAGTACTATCTACTCTGTCACTCTGCCTAGTGACAGTTCTCCAGGATCTCAAGTGAAGATCTTTCATATCACCTGTTGCCTGAGCCTGATGAACTGGAGATGCTGAGGACTGAACTTGGAACACTCTTTATGAAAAGCAGATTACCAATGAACAAGGCCTCTTTAATGAACTAATGAACACATGGAGTTGCTTCCTACTGAACCAGGGCCGGCTCGCTCACTAGGTGAGCTAATCTCTCACCTAGAGCACGGCCATCATGGGGGTGCCATACTGAGCCACCCTCCCCCCAAAAAAGCCCCCCGCCCCCGCCAAAAGCTCATGCCGTGCGCTGGCCATCGCAGCCTTTTCGCCCGCCCCGCCAAAAGCTCGTGCCCCGCACTGGAGAGGCACTGCCACCCCTCGGTTGGATGTCAGCTGCCAGGCAGGTGTCTGGGCGAGCATGGGGGGCGCCCTTGCCTCTCGTGTCTCTCTCCAGCAGCGGCGAGGCACTCGAGGAAGTTTGGAATTGGGAAGTGTGCCCAGAGCCTCCGCATCCCCTCCTCGCCATCTGGATTCTCATCCCTGGGCCTCCCTCGGTGGCCATGGCAGGGACACCCAAGCTCGCCGACTGGCCAGACTCCACAGCCAGCCCCCCACCTCGGCCGCCCGAGACAACCCTCCCGGCAGGTAACAACAGCCGACGGCAGCGGCTCCCTTCAAGATCTATTCTCTGCCCCGGGGGGGGGGTTCCCGTAGGGCAGGCCCAGGAGTGGGAGGGGCAGGGCAGCACACAGGAGCAGGGGGGATGGAGAGCAGCTGGGGGTTTTCCCTCCTGCACCCACCCCTTCGAGGGGCTGGTGGTGGTGGGGAGCCTCGGGGGGGGGGAGAGAAAAGCGCCCCTCCCCCATCCACAGAGCCAATGTGGAGAAAAGGTGGAAGCCGGGTCCTCAGAGTTCCTCCTTTAAAGCTGCCCGTGGAGTCTTGTGAGCAAAAACTCTACTTTGTGAGGTAGTTGGCATTAAAGTTGCGGCCTCTCTCTCTCCCTCCTGCCCCCAAACACACACACTCCCCGCCCACCCCTTCGCTTCCCTCCCCCCTCCCAGCAACCACACATACGCACGCACACAGAGAGCAAAGGTGGGGGGGAGAGGGAAGAGACTCGACTGGAGGAGCAGAGGGCTGCGTGGCGTTCGCGCCCCTGAGCTCTTTGCTCTTCTCCCAGCTCAAACGTCCAAGTTTGCCAGGTAAGTTGGGGGAGGGGGAAGCCCCATCCCCACCATCCCCACCATCCCCACCCCGTGAGTTCCCTCTTGACCAGGGGCCCCTCCTCGCTGCTGCCGCTGGGCACGGGAGCCCTGGCCGGAGGGAGGGTGCTCACAGCTCAAGGCACCTGGAAGTGGCCTTGCCTCATCCCCATGGCACTCTTGGAGTGCTCCTCTGCCTGGCTCACCTGCAGCCGCCCTGGCAGTCAACAGCGGGCCGAGCTCCCTCCAGCCCTGGGCAGAGCTAAGGCAACTTTGGAGCCTCCAAAGGGGGAGAGATGTTAGAGTAAGTTCTCTCCAGGCCCTGCCTGGAGATTGGCAACGTGCAGGGGGTGGCAACGTGCAGGGGGGTGGCAGAAGGTAGCCCTGCCTAGTGCACAGCAAAACCTCGGGCCGGCCCTGTACTGAACCAGAACCTGTCAAGCCCAGTATTGTCTACTGTATCTGGCAGAAGTTCTCCATGGTTTCAAACAGAGGTATACTATCTAGTCCTTTGACTGTAAGTTGGGGCCTTCTGCATGCAAAGCAGAGGGCTCTACTGCTGAACAACTGCCCCTTCTCCCCTCCCAGCAAGGAGCTGCTGGCCATGCCCAAAATTGTAGTTGCCTCCATTATTGTCTCGTGCAACATGACCCCATGTTATGAATCTGGAATGCGGTACTCTTACCTTAGATCCATACCAGGCTTCAACCTCTTTACGGTTGCATTCGATCATTGATTCATACTTGCACCTCATCTCTTCCAGTATCTTCCTCAGATCTGGACCAGGGCAGGAATTGACTTCCACATTAACATCGCCAGTCGACTGGTTCTTCAGACAGGTTACTTCCTGCAGGAAGATCATAAGGCAGTTGAAATAGCCACCACCATGGGGATGTCTCCTCCACCCCTTGCATTGCTCATCTTCTATCCTACACCAGGAGCCATATTTTTATAGGAATGACATTTTTGATGCAGAGAAGTACTTCCCCATCTGCCCCTGAAACTAGCACTGTTTGTTTCTGATGCTTCCTAGAGGTGTGTGATGTCACTTCTGTTTTCCACTGGAAGTGATGTCAGGCTGTCGCTGATTTCTTTTTCTCCTGCCCCCAGTGGACATACAGCATATAGCAACCCTAGTTGAAAGAGGCCTCCAGCAGAGACCTGTAATGGCCTTTACTGAGTAGCGAGGGTTACTTACTTACTTACTTATTTATTACAAATATTTTAGTGTCACCCATTCAGTCAAGTGGGCTTCTGAGGAGGTAGCTGGGCCCAGAGGTCATTTCGGGGGGGATCGCGGGGATTGCAGTTCCCCCAAGTGAGGTACGGGGGCAGGGCACATGACGAAGCCCCGCCCCCTGCTTCCGGCCGCCCCGCTTCCGGCCCTCATTCAGCCAGGAGGAAGCAGGAGAAGAGGGAGGGTAAGTTGCTTCCTCCCTGCCTCTCCCCACCCCTGCCTGCCTGGGGCCAGGGAGGGCCTTCGCGGGGCTTGCACTCTCGCCGGCCTTGCAGGTCCACCACCGGGCCCCTCATGGGGCTCGGCAGTGGAGCTGCAAGGCCGGCGGTGGCGACCGGGACCGTTGGGGGTGGGGTGTGTGGCCTTATGACACACTTCTGGTGATGTCAGGGGATGTGGCCTTATGACACACTTCCGGTGATGTCAGGGTGTGTGGCATATGCTAATGAGTTATGCTAATGAGTTCCCCTAGCTCTTTTTCTATGAAAAGACCCCTGGCTGAGCCTATAGTGCTGGGTGGCTTCTTGCAAGGGCAAAAAAAGAAACTCAAAAATGCTATTTTAAGAACACCCAAGGAGTGCTGAATGAATGCAGATAAGCTAAGCAATGCAATCCAACTAAGTAGCTAGTGTGTATTTCCCCAGAGAGCCCTGATTTCGGCATCACCTTGAACATTTTCCTTTAGCGAATGGTCCTTACGTAGGCCTAGTTCACACTCTGAGCTCTTTTAGAAAACCTTACATCTGTAGTGTCTGGATCTCCTTGAATATCGTCATTTCTGTATTGGTTAACTTCTAACTGTAAATGTTTGACACAACTGGGGGAGGTCTGTAAAACAGTCCTCCGTGAACCAGCAAAATTGGATGCAATAGAAAACAACTCTAAGTGATTTCGGTCTTGAGCCTCTAACCCTGGATAGAACTGACAGTACTATGGTGTCAACACCAAACGGAATGAGGATCGAAGCAGAGGGCGGGGTAAAGAAGGGGGCGGGGCTTCACCACGTGACCGCCCCGCCCCCTAGAGGTTCTCTTCCGGAGCTCCGTACCTGAGAGCTCCCCCCCGACTAGAGCCCTGGTGTCAACACCATAGATTTTAACATGAAGAACATCTTTCGACACTGGAAAATATCATTCTAAAACTTTAAGCTCCTGGAATCAGGAAAATGTTATGTCACGTGTTCCAGTTAGACCTCATAAATCCATAAGACCATGTCTCTTACCTCTTCATGGTTCTTCTTCAAGCTGCACAGTTCATCCTGCAGGTTCTCACATTGTATCTCCAGGTCAGATCTGCAGGCTGTCAGCTGATCCAGGATTTGATGTAAGCCATTAATATCGGCCTCCACGTTCTGACGGAGGCAACATTCCGTTTCATACCTAAACCACAAGGAGCACAGTATAAGAGCCCATTGCCAGGTTACAACCCAGGTCCCGTCTCCAAAGATGGCCGCTGTTGCACCCAGCCAATATTTCAGGCTTCCGTTGGCTTTTAAGAGACGCATTCCCATACTGTGGGGGAAATGCCCCCTGTGGTTTGACACTGAAGAAAATATAAAGGAGACAGAGAGATGCCCAGTGAACAAAATGGCTCCTTTGTCAACCACCATGTCAGACTGCTGTAAGGGCTGTCGAGAGTGGGGGACTGGGAGGACAAAATTTGATAAGCCCAAGTCAGGTGGAGGGCCCCTGTAGCCAGAGTCATGATGCATCCAGCCGAATGCCTTTCCAGCTTTTTCCCTTTTAATGCACTTCTGAATGCAGACACAATGGCCACAGGGAAGTCTAAGCATAGTAAAAGGCACTCTGATTATCAGCTAGACTCACCTTTCTGCAAGACTAAAGCAAAGCGGTACTTTAGTGTGTGGCAGCAAGATAAAACAACTTTTCCCTCTCTTTTCCTTAATTTCATTCCCTCTTTTCCAGATTTTCTCATTCATTTCTCTCTCACTCCACCTAATTTTTCTGTTCCCCCCACCGACCCAGTCTTGGTCTCCTTCTCATCCCTATTCTACCCAACAACAGAATGTACTTAATATTAGTATAGTAGCAAACCTTTGTTAAAATTCTGAAGAGAAGTATATTTCCCCAAAATAGTAAAAGGATGCTTTCCCCCTCCTCCACCCTTTACATGCATGGTAATGGAACATTAATCTGTTTTAGTGGTTATACATGTAGAAAAGAACTTAGAATTCTCAGTTCAGGCACTGGGTTGCTATCATGAGTACTGTGTTGGTGGAAGATCTAATAGCCCTCTGTAAAAGCTACTTTCCTATATGCCAAATGGCGTAATTTTTTAAAAAGTCATTAAAAATTAGATTTGTAATGCCATACCCAGTCTTTCTCCCCTATAAGAACCCGAAGCTTCACTGATCTCCTGTCCTCTATTTTATCCTCACAATAACCCTGTGAGGTAGGTCTGACTCAGAGTGTGTCACTTCTATGGTGGATTAGGGATCTGAGTATTAGAGACACATGATGGGTTGCTTAAAAGCTCTCTTATTGCATGTTGCCTATCATGAACATAACCTGCTTCAGGGTATTCTAATTCCCTTCATTTTTGGCATGCAACTTCCATCATTCTGAAGTCGATGGCCAGTTTTCAATGTGTGGCATTATTTTCTGATGAGTTTTGCCTGCCACAAATAGAGACCCATAGCTTCCATTGCAAATAGCATCTCACTCGGGCCAGGATATCCCCATGCTTTTCAGTTTTGGCCTTGGAACTCTCACAATCATCTTGAAGCAGGCGGCCAATTTTGAGTCTCCCAGCTTTATTCGCTGATTAGTTATTCCTGCCACAAATGGACAGATGGACAGACAGGCTGATTTTTTAATTACTATAGTTTCATGGTAACAGTGAGCAAAGTGATTAGTTTTGTTATGATATTTGGTTTGGATCAGGGTCATATGGGGGGAGGCAGGTGGAATCTTTGTCCGGGGGCCCATGGTGGCTCTTGGCAGCCCTGACTGCTGTGCTGTTACATCCCATCATATGCAGGCACTCCCCTCCCCTGCACCCAACAGCATAGACGCCCCTCTGCTCTAGACCCCCAGATACTGTTATCAGTACAAGGCACCTCCCACTTGTTGAGGGTTGAAAGAATCAAAGTCTCCACTTCATGCATCCTCTGCAGTTGTCACCTTCAATCACATTCAGACCACCAAGCAAGTCCTTCAGATGAGAGGATCCCTTTGCCCTGTACTGCCCGTTGCTTACTGGGAAAACACTCACTTGGTTCGGAAGTCGTCAGCAGTCAGCTTGCTGTTATCAATGCACAGAAGGAGTTTGTTATTTTCCACACTCGTGCAAATGAGCTGGGAAGAGACAAAGTTAGGGAATACCAGTTATGGCACCACTCTTGGTTTTCCTGCTTTGTGCAAAAATCTGGAATTAAGGTTTGCCAGGTGACTGTTAGTCTAACATAAATTTCTGGTCAGTCTAACTTCAATTCCTGGTCAATATTCCAGTGTACAATCAAAGTGCAGGGATCGTAACAGTTGGACATCACTGAGCAGCTGAACCTCAGGAGAACGGGCCATCACGGTTCCTTGTGGGAATCAGTGCAACTTGTTCTTAACACCTTCAGCACCGGGCTCTGCCCTACTGTGTCTTAACTAGTTTCAGAGCTCAAAGCAAATGCTCAGACATAAAAAGAAAACAATAGTGCTGTTGTTTGCTCCAGGCAAAGAAATATTTTAATAACTGCAGTGCTAATGTTGCAAAGTCAACAAGATAAATCAACTGATAACGTCTGTGAAACAGTTGAAACACTCGCAAATCCTAAGTATCATTATTCACGCTGCCAACTGAGATCTGAGCTGAGCTTCTGCCCCTTCCTTGTTACAGGTATTTAAGCTCTTCTAGCAGGGAAATGGAGGCTAGGAATATTTCTGCCAGCTGAGTGACATATGGGCTGAGCTTCTGTTCCTTTCATCTTACTTTAGCCAGGGGCACAAGTCCAAGGGCAAGAATCACAAGGCTCTTGGTCCATGGGCTCTAAGCCCCTAGCCCTGGAGGAGTTAGCCCAGTGATTCTGAGACAAGCCCAGGATATTGGAGTATAGTTAGAGCAGCCAGCTCTGGGTTGGGAAATACTTGGAGATTTTGGGGGTGGAGCCTGAAGAGGGCAGGGCTTGGGGAGGGGAGGGACTTCAACAGGGTAGAATGGCATAGAGTCCACCTTCCAAAGCAGCCATTTTCTCCAGGGTGAACTGATCTCTATTGCCTAGAGATAAGCTGTGTAATCCCAGGAGATCTCCAGCCACCTGGAGGTTGGCAACCCTAATATAGTACTGGATTTCTTTTGTCTGTTTAAATGTGTGTGGGTTTTTAAAATTTATGTGTAGCCTGCCTTTCTCACTGGAACTCATTTTGCATTTTGGTTTTTTGTAATCTGCTCTGAGTGTCCGTTGCAGAGAGAAGCAGGGTAGAGATACCGAACGTAAACCAAAATGCAAACCCAAAAGTGATTCTCAATCTAGCACTGGCTTAGATTCTGAAAATCAAAGACCGTGCTTGTTTAAAAGAATACTTTTCTCCCCATTTTGGCATTTCAAATTAACCAAGAACTTTTGGTTCATTTTTTTTTTAAAGAATGGATAAATTTTGATTTTTGTCAAAACAGAGCTCAATAAAAAAATGAAAATATCAGATTTGGGGAGAAACAGCATTTCTATCCATAGGAATGGTCTTTATTTTAAAAAGACCGGTTTTAAAGAGATGTAATGTCTTTGTCTTTTGTATGGAATGGTCATGCGTTGGCTTCACCCAGATGCTGCTCTTACTTTAAGCTAGGTTATCTCTTTGCCACAGAGAAGAGCAAAGGCACCATGAAAGTTACTAACATGGCCTGGAGTTTGATATCCTACCTGGTTCTTGATATCTTCAATTTGTTGATGATAGTGGCTGTAGTCCTTTGGTTCAGAGAGGGGTCCTTGCTTGGCATAAAACTCCCTGATCCGGCTCTCGAGCATGGCATTCTCCTCCTCCAGGCATCGGACCTTGTCCAGGTAACTGGCCAGACGGTCGTTGAGGTTCTGCATGGTCATCTTTCCATCAAGGGCAGTGAACATGCCACCACAAGCCATCGGGTCACCACCCATGCCACCAACAACCGTCGGGCCGGCAACCACACCACCAGTAACCACACCACCGGCAAATCCACAAGGAGCACCCATCATGCCCCCATGGCCACCGCCCATGACAGAGCCCATGCCACCAACCATGCCAGCAGGGACAGCCCCAATCATGCCGCAATGGCCACCCACCATGCCAGCATGGGCACCGCCCATCATGCCAGCCACCATACCTGCATGAGCACTACTGACCACGTTGGCATGACCACCACCTACTACACCACCCCTAGCAGCAGAACTCCCAACAGAGGCAGTGCCGAACCCACTACTTCCCATGACATGTGGCCCAGCACCAAATCCACCACTGCAGCTGCCGCTTGAAAAATGGCTTCTTGTTGTTCCATGGGCGCAAGTGGAGCCTCCTGCAACGTGAGCTCTCCCACCACCTATCCCAGCGGAGCTGTGCAGTCCAGAGGAGGCTGTGGAAACCCCAATTCTTCCTCCACCGAGACTGCAGCTTCCACTGCTGCTTCTTCCAGTTGTGATGACTGAATGCCTTGTCCCAGTGCTCATGGTGGCAGCGATGCAGGAATTCCAAGGAAGAAGCAAAAGCTACAGCTGGGTATAAAGCAAGACTGCTGGGTTCCTCTCCCCCAGGTCGCTCTTTATACCCTTGGCAAAGGGTGTCACCAGGACTGGTTGAGCGTCTTTCATGTTAGGTATTTTTCCTCTCTCTCTTTCTGAACTCACAGCATGGGTTGCTGTAATTATTCCTGCCATGGATAATTTCACAAAGGCAAGCTGCCTGCAGATATCATTGGATTCAGAGAAGATGCTTGTGTGTGTCAGCAGCTCCTGGTGGGGGGGGGCGGGCAGGAACCACAGTAATATTGTGCGTTGTTTGTGATGTATACTGGCCAACACTAGGAATTATAATCCCTTTTGTAGAGAAAAGGAAGCTAAACTTTCTTGAGCCGGCAGATTAAACCCAATTTGTATGAAAGCTAAAAGGCAATTGCATGGGAAAGCTGAGCTGTAACAACTCATGGGTGCCTGAAAATGTGCGTGCAGGAATTATTGAGAAAGAAAGAAAGAAAGAAAGAAAGAAAGAAAGAAAGAAAGAAAGAAAGAAAGAAAGAAAGAAAGAAAGAAAGAAAGAAAGAAAGGCCTGTCTTGTCAACCATTTTTGACCTCCCTGGTGAAATATGTCCTTATATACTTGACATTGCCCTGACTTCCTCTCACTCAGAGTTGACTTCATCTGCTCCCAGTGGCATGAAATAGCCAAACGTTTAATTGGAATTATAGTAAACAGTAAATTGAAGACTGTCCATATATTATGTAGAGATATGCAAGGAATTTGATATGTACATAGGGACAGAAGTGAAGAAACCAAACGGAAGTATACTTAGCGGGTTGCACAAGATAATAGGACTCAGAATAGGATTTCTTGGTTAGTAAATGGATATATTAGAAGTTAAGGGATCAGTTTGAGAATACTTTCTATTAATATATAATTGTAGGACTGTTGGAAATTAGTTCAATGTTCTGTAATTATCGCGCACTACAGAAATTAATAAATTGTGATTTTTTAAAAAAATAGCCAAACGTGATGGGCTGGGATGTCATTCTATATTCTTCGGTGGTGTACCCCAACCCACAAGTACTTCCTCGGGAGCCCACCATGCGCTTCAGGAAAGGAGATGGGGCAACTGTGTGGGCACAACCAGTGTCTGGTTGCCTTCATACAAATAAAGGGGCTTTTCACATGCTTCCTCCCCGCCACTCACTGGAAAAGGATCTGGGATCTTGTAAACAGGACCCGTGGATCAGCTGTGAGGCCGTCGGGACTAGGGAGCTCCATTGGTTGACTATTTTTGAGTTTGTGTGGTATATTCCCCATCTCCCTTCCTCTTGAACAAAGTTTGAGTCCAGTGGCACTTCTAAGACCAACAAAGTTTTATTCCTGGTATAAGCTTTTTCTTAAAGGTGCCACTGGACTCAGACTTTGTTCTGCTGCTTCGGACCAACATGGCTGCCCACGTGAATCTATACCCCTTCCTCTTGTGTTTGTATATGTGTGTAGGCTTCCACCTTCTGTGGCAGCCATTTCATAGTGCTGCCTGCCACCCTTCCTCAAAATTCCAAAGGTCCTTGCAGGCTCAAAAAGGTTGGGGACCCCTGTTCTATGACATGGTCCAGTTTGAACAAAACTGCATGCTCTGCCTATCACTGATAAATACCATTGCATGTCAGCGATCAAATATTGCCAAATTGCAAATATCCAATATTGAAACCAGGGGATGTTGTAAGTCAGATAATGATGGCAGAACTCATATAAATGCTCCAGGAAAATGTCCAGTAATTATTAAACATCAAGATGTGCAGGAAATAGTTTGGGGAAACAAATTAATTTCTGCTCAAATTCACACGTAAACTCAGAGAATAAAATCTGATTTTCACTTCACAGGAAGTGCAAATGCATTCTGAATTCAAAAGTTAGAAACTGATTAACTTGAATTTGCATGTAGATGTCTTCACTCTGGAGCCTTTCTCCTTGATATTTTGATTTCTTCCACAGTGTATCATTTCCTCCTGTGGAATTGCCTTTATGACTTCATCACCAATATCACCAACGGGAGACAGTCTAGATACAGATTTGAAAAGCCACCATTAATCCAAATGGTTTGTGTTATTGATGGGAATTATATTTTTCTCCAGGACTGCTTCATGTTTCAAATCATGAAAAGCAGGATTAGAAATGGGGGAATATGGATTGTGACATTTAAAAAAAAATAGGCCAATGGATCAGAATACCAAATTCTATCATTAGTTCGTCTGAATCAGTGACACAGTAGCCAATTCACTCTGGAGCTTTCGCCAGGACAGGAAGGTGCTAATATCTATGTGACAAGGATATTGTTTAGACAGACCTAAATCATTTCCAGAAAGTTGCCAACTCCAGCCTGGGAAATTCCTGGAGATTTGTGAACAGTGCCTGGCGATGGAAACCTTTGGGAAGGAGAGGTGGCTCAGTGGGAATGTGATGCCAGAGAATCCACCCTCCGAAGTTGCCATTTCCCCCCAGGGAAGCAGATCGGTGTAGCGTGGGAATCATCTGTACTTCCAGGAGAATTCCCAGGCCCACCTGGAGGCTGGTGACCCTTTTCCCAGAGGACTTGAAGGCCTCATTAACTAGAAGGTTTTCGTAACTTTTACCACTTCATGAAGTATAATGGCCTCGTCTTCTTCTACTAAAGGCCTCGTGGTACAGAGGAAGGGGAAGTTGGCACCCCCTAGGGGGTTGGAGCCTGGGGAGGAGAGGGACTTCGGCAGGGTATAATGCCATAGAGACCAACTTCCAAAGGGCCATGGCGAACTCTGTCAGCTGGAGACCAGTTGTAATTCCAGATCTCTCACCACCACCCAGAGGGTGGCAACTCTAGCATTCCCAAGTCATCAAGCTGTCAGGGGAGGCAATTTGAGAAGCGCCTGCTAGCTTGTTGGCAACAGCTGAATACTGTCTGGGCTGACTTTGTATGCTCCCCTCCTTGCAGGTACGTAGGCCTGGGTGTGGCCAGAGGAGCAAGCCAAAGAGCTTTTGGCCCTTGACTCCTAGCTGGTGGCCTCCAATAGCCAGCCCGGTAAATGAGGATACACCCAGGATGTGTTTGTTCCACTGTTCATCTTGTTTGTTTAAAATACATTGCTTCTGTAAAGCCAGTTTGGGTCCCTTGGGGGAGAAACGTGGTACAGAAAGGCCTAAACAGACACATTAAGCAGCCTGACTAGGAGGGAAATTCTTTCCCAGTTCTATGTTAGTTAGAAGCTGAGCCTGAAGGAGGGAAAAACCCATTTGCTGGGCCATAGCACAACCCACCCCAGCTAGATCTGACTAAAGAATGTGCCAGCATTTGAATTTTGCCAATATTCTACCATAGAGTTTTGCCCAGAAACCAGAGCATCGCCCCCTGACGTCCCTGATGTGCCTACATCACTTCCAGGTCACATAGGCATGTCACTGAAATGTTGAGAGTTTCTCCCTACTCCCGGTAATTGTACCCCCCACCCCCCAGTCATTCTTGGGTTATTAGTTATCCATACTTTGTTATATCTTGGATTTGCTCAGAGGGACCTGTTCCCTCTAAGCTGTGGAGTCTTGCGAGCAAAAATTCTATGTTGTGAGCTACTGGCATTAAAGTTGTGAACGAGCCTTCCTTCCTGAGCTAAGACAAAAATGTGCGAGCCAGAGACTAAAAAACTGTGAGGTAGCTCACACTAACTCAGCTTAGAGGAAACACTTGACCTGGCAACCCTACCCCATAGGGTTTTCAAGGCAAGAGACATTTAGAGATGGCTTGCTATTGCCTGCCTCTGCATACCGACCCTGGACTTCCTTTGCTGGTCTCCCATCGAAGTAGTAACCAAGGCCAATCCTGCTTTGCTTCTGAGATGTAATGAGATCGGGCTAGCCTAGGCCATCCCATCCAGGTCAAGGCACAGAATCTGAGGGGAGCAAATTGGTTTCCTCTCCAATCAACCTAGTGTTCTGATTCGAGATAAGACCTTTTCAGCTGTTCCATTTCTGGCACTCTATCTTGAATAATGGGAAAGCCTGCTATGCAGCCCTCTCAGTACTTGTGATCACTATATGCCGTGAAATAGGACAATGCATGTATTCCCGAGTACATTCAATTAGAAATCCAGGCTTGTTGCAGATATGTGTTTACGCCTACCAAAGCTTGACTGCATGCAGGGGTCGTTTCGTAGAAAAAGAGCTAGGGGAACTCATTAGCATAACTCATTAGCATATGCCACACCCCTTGACATCACCGGAAGTTTATCATAAGGCCACACCCCCTGACATCACCGGAAGTGTGTCATAAGGCCACACCCACCACTCAGTCTTAGTCTTAAAGGTGCTATTTGTTAGTCTTAAAGGTGCTATTTGAACTCTTGAACTATTTTGCAGCAACAGACTAACACAGCTAATTCTTCTGAATCTAAACCCACCACTCAGGCTCCACCCCCAAAATCTCCAAGGTATTGCCAACTCAGAGCCGGCGAGCCTGTCTGATGGCACATGTGGGGGAAAACAAGCAAACCACCCATTGTCAGGTAAAAAGGTATTTGCGAAGCCACGCAATCTCCCCCGCCCCGTCTATGCATGGCTGAGGCCGCTCCACGCGGCCTCCACAAGGACTCCCAGGCCCATCCAGGAGCTTCCCCCACCATGTGGATGGCCTTAAAACTTCCATGTAAGCAAGCTCAGCTGGAACCAAGGCATTAACTAATGTCTTCGCCTAACTGGGGGGAAATGAAAAAGAATGGGGGGGGAGAGAGAAAGGAGGGGGGGACCAGAATAGATGGGCCATCTCTGGCAAGCATTAATTTTAGCATCTTCACACCAAGAGCCAAAGAAACAGTTTTGAGTCTGACTCAACCAAACAAAAAGACAGAGAGGGAGGGAGAGAGAGAGAAAGAGAGAGACCGGCAGCTGCCGACTCTCAGCTACAATTCCCAATTTGCTTCTCCGGGCTCAGCAAAACTGTCCATTGTTCCAAGCTTCCAAGAAAGAAAGAAAGCTGCATTTTTTTTAAAAAAAGAACTCGCACAAGCCCATTTTGCCCAGAAACAACACAACAG